TTCAATAAAAAAGATATCCATACATAGAAGGATACTTGATGCACCATGTATAATATATAATATTAATTAGTTTTTTACATAAAATAAATCGGAATAAATATATAAATGCTTTAAGACCTTGTACATCAAAAACTAAACCGGACAAAAATTAATACGAATTTTACTCATATTTTACAAACACAAAAAACCTTATCAGGTTATTAAAATCGAATGCAGTCCTACTGAACCGATTAATTGCATACCGTTATAATAAGGATTTTGATAAGAACGATCAGAGGGGGGCAGTGTTATAATAGAATATGCTAAAAGCCTCTTGAAAGTCTTTTTGCACGGACTGTAAAGCGGGTTTCGTTCGGATTAGCGAAACCGTGCCTTATATAAGCGGGTCTCAGTGGTTGACGGAGTGAAGTTGATAGAACAACCGGATCGAGTAGAGAGTTTTATAATACAGTTTGTATTTTTATTTAAGTTAATACAAGTGCTTGTTAAAGTTTTCATAAGACAAAAATATACTTCTTTCCGTTCAACCACCAGCACTGAGAAGAGCGCCTCTTTTTGAAAGTAGCCAAATTTTGGATCCAAATTCCTCTATGTCAAAATGAACTCTCTAAAAATGAATTAGTCAAAAATTACGAATTTAATGGTTATTAGTGGCTGCTTTTACTTACCAAAAGGGTAAGAGTAGCCCAATTAAAATACTGGGCCCACGTCACTCGTAGGCAACGCAACAACATACTACAAGCCTCCCTTAAACTAGACCTTACAGTCAAAAAAGTCGGGAGACCATGCTTCACAAGTAATACTAATCGACTGGTCTAGGGGGATTCCGCGTCGTACTTAGTTTTAAGTCGGCGTAATTGTCCCCCAAAAACCAACAAACGTCTATCTCGGCGAACCCGAGAATGGCTATTAAAACTATTCGCATGTCGCTCTCGAGCCCCAAATAGGGGACAGTACGGAACGCAATGGACATTCGCACCCAGCAAACGCGGATGAAGCCGTGCAGTTGCTGGGGGCGAACAAAAATCGGCGTAACTAAACATAGGCCTGTACGGGGTCCGGGAGTGATGAGGCAATGGGGCTGGTTATACGTCTTTTATACTCATACTCATACTCATTAGTGGCTGCTTTTTCACTTGTACCATGGTTAACCATGGAATACCATGGTATCCCAAAATTTAACAGCCAATTCTTACACTGTTTAAAATATCTGTGGTGTAAAAAGTAATCTTAAAATGGTGTCAAAATCCAACACCAAGTGGTGTTAATATAACACCATGAATTATGGTTGAAAATGTGTACCGATCGCGGCAAAGGCGGTGTGGATCACGTGATGTTCTTAAATCTCGCCTCTGTTGGCTTACATGAAAAATATATAAACTCAGGAAAGTCCTTTGCTTTGGTGTGACACTACAAGTTGTTCGATACTAAAGAGACCTTAAATAGGTGGAAACAGCTGTCAATACTTGAAGTATTTTAAGTTAGTGGAACGCACTAAAAACAGTATCTCTGGCGAGTTGAAGGTCCCATTTTCTGGAATTATACCACTGGTAATATACGAGTAATGCGTCAAGGAACTTCCTGTTTCCTTTTTTTTCTTTTTTTCTGTATAGTATGATTTAATTTGACCACAAACACATAATATTTAACACTGAAAAGGAGTTCAACTTACACCAGGTAAAATTTATTTTAATACTGCGTGAAAGTTAAATTAACACCATTTTAGATTTGAATTTACACCGGACCAACGAACCTTATTTAACACCATTTTGGTTTGTATCGATATAGACCACGTATGGTGTTAATTTGGTATTAAAATGGTTATGAAATTTTGAACAGTGTATGTAAAATTGTCCCCTGAATACGAAAATGTCAAAAGGCAAAAAAGTTGAACAGTTTTTGAGATAAAGTCAATTTTCTATTTAATATGGAGTTGACTATATCTGAAAAACTGCTTTACTTTCATAATTTTTGACGGTATTTCGGATTCAGGGGACAATTTTACAGAAGAATTGGCTGTTAAATTTTTGAATACCATGGTATTCCATGGTTAACCATGGTACAAGTGAAAAATCGGCCACTAATAACTATTAAATTAGTCATTTTTGACTAATTCATTTTTAGAGAGAACACTGTAAAAACATTCAAATCGAAATTTGTGACATGGAATGAAACGAGTACAATTTGTCAGTTGTTTAGCAAAATAATTAGAAATATTGTCAGGAGAGTACAGAAATTATTGATATTAAACCGTAATTATCCTTATTTCTAATAAGTGGTTAGCCGTTGAAACCACTGGGATTTACTTAAAATTATTCCAGGTAACAAGAAATGGTTATAATTGGAAAACATGAACCGGGAACAAGGTTTGATATCCTGTTTGAATTGTAGCAAATGGAGCTGCAATGTCTGTAAAGTGGCGCTTTCTGAATCATTACTCAATTAGTATTCATATATTTTAGAAGTTACATGTGTATGTGTTTATATTTTATTGACGAAAAATATTTTTTTTTACATATATGACCTGGACTATAGAAAGGTACCTATGGTTGAAGGAACGAATTTTTCAATGGAACAAACCGCAGAATCCTAAGTTTAAACCTTTTGTTGGAAATCATCCTTAAAGTTCAGCATAAATTGAAGCGTGGTAATTAAAAATCGTCTAAGTGCCACTGCAGTGCTAAACAAAAAGGTGGTGACTAATGCATTACTTAATATTGTTTAATACATTTGTGCTTTGTACGGCAGCGGCACTTAGACGTTTTTAAATTACCACGCTTCAATTATAAAAATCGCGAAAAAAATTGTAAATAGATCAGGAATTGCTTTTTTGATCTTTTATTTTCGTCAATATCCTGAAGAGACATATCGAAAGACGAATCTGGTACAACATCATCTTCTATGTCACTAACACCTGCACCTCCACCTTGATCTTCGTAATCTTCATCACAATTCGCAAAATATTGTTTCTCCACTTCTACTTAGGGAAAATCACTTGAATAAGGAACAAAACTATTTATTGTAAAAGCACCACTGTATAGTGGAAGTCTAAAGAGAGGTGAATAGCCAAGGGTAAGACGAAAAAAGAAGAGGTAGAAGCGCAAATACAAACGCGACGCACGGACACGACTTGTTATCTTTAGCAGCTCGAAAACTTGATTTCTAACCATAGGCACCTTTCCGTAGTCCAGGTTACATATAACTATTTTTACTAAAGTCACTTTAAGGTCGTAGAGCAATAAATTCCAATAAAATTCCAAAAATTGTAATTTTGCCACCAAAAGGGTTATTAAACAAAATAATTTTGTTGGGAAATTTTGCTTATGTATTTGCCCTAATAAATTTAAGATTTTAAAAGCAATAATTTATTAAAAGGACAATTTAATTTTATAATCTTATTTAACAAGCGACGTGTGAGAAGAATTTTCGGTTACAATAAAGACTTTATATTATTGCTGTTAAATTTATAACTAGGTACTATGCTCCACACCTCAGTCCCACCACGTGACCACGTACGGAACGTCTTTTGAAAATTTGGCATTTAAGGCTTTTCAGGTCATGTATCTGTCAAAGTATAGTCAATGAAAGAAATAATATTATGTTTAGGCGTTAAAAATGTATAAATCTTTATAACATTACAATAACAATGGATGGTTTAAGAATTTAAGAATATAAATACTGCATTTAATGAAATTCTAAAGTGTATGGTGCCAAATAAGTAATATTTTTGTGCATTTGGTCCAAATATCTGGTTTTCTCCATAAAATATTGTTAACTAAACAGCATTTATTAAAAAAAATCTAGCTTCTCGATTAAGGAATAAGAATATCTGTTTTAAAGGTAGGTTAATATATTATAACAAAAATATCATCTAATTTTGTAATTTTAAGGTTAGGAAAATTTATTTTGACCAAAATAAATAAGTATTTTTAATTATTTAAAAGACAGTATAATATGGTATTTAAAAATGTGGTAGTTTTTCATATCCAGCTTAAAGTGTAAAGTTTTGTCAATACAAATAGTTAAAAAGCTTCGACTGAACTTGATCTACATCAAAAAATCATTTTAACTTTAAAAATTTTAATAAATCACATGTCATGGGAGTATTAAATATTTTCACATTGCAAGTTTCTCTAAAAATTGTTTGTTTTCTTATAATCTAACTTAAAGTAGGTATGCCGAGAGGTATGCACAAGTTTTGTCATTCAATTTAATTTGAACCATATTCAACAATTATTTAGTATACCTATATTTATTAATGACCATAATAACACACTCTTCCAAATAATCCACTTATTTATTTTGGTCAAAATAGATTTTTCTAACCTTTAATGCAAAATTAGATGATATTTTTTGTTTTAATACATTAACCTACCTTTGATACAGAAATTCTTATTTCATAATAGAGAAGTTAGATTTTTTTTAATAAATGCTGTTTAGTTAAAACTATTTTATGGAGAAATGTAGACCCAATGCACAAAAATATCACTTATATTGCACCTTATACTTTGGAATTTCATTAAATGCAGTATTTATATTCCTAAATTCTTAAACCAACCATTGTTATTGTGATACTATAAAGATTTATTAACTTTTAACGCTTAAACATAAGCGGTAACACTATAAATATTATTTCTTTCATTGACTATACTTTGACAAATACATAATGAAAAGCCTTAAATGCCAAATTGTCAAAAGGCTGCGTTCCGTACGTGGTCACGTGGTGGGACTTTGAGGTGTGAAGCAGTACTCTCCACTGTTCCGTTAATATTTAACAAAAACAAAACTAACTATTGACATAACCCATTATAACCTGTAAAACGAACCCAAAACAAATCTTTATTTACTATCAAACCTCATACATATCTGCTTATTCCTACGCACAGGGCGCCTGTTTGCGCTTAACAAACAAATATTCCGCGTATTACCTCATCGTCATGACGACTTGCCCGTGCCCATGGTTAACCATAGAAAACCTGACGGTCAACCATTGATGGACACAGCCATGGTAGTCCAAAAACTCGGCAACAATCGTTGGAAACGGTGACGCAACTCGCAGGCTAAGCGAATCTCTCTCTAATGCGCAGAGCGCGCGGTTTTATTTCAACAATATTTTTCGCAAACTTTGAATCGAAGAGTCCTATACTGCGATCCTCAATTGTTCTGTGACATTTGTTCAGTGCCTTCTTGACTAATTGGATAATTTTTGCAAAAGGTAATTATTTTTTTATTAGCTGCTTATTTTTAGAATGCTGATCTAAGTATAATATTGTTAACCTTTCAATGCTCGCCAAGTGTGCAAAAATATACAAAATTGCCAGGTATTCTTAAATGTCAAATGACTAATAATAGTTTAATCTTGTTTTTCGAATTTAAATTGCGATTTTTTAAATAATTTTTTATATATCGTAATTTTATACCGTTATTTACAAAAATGTAAAGAAATATGCTGTAGGTAGAATTATAAGCAATTTAAATAATAATGGTGTTTTTTAAATACTTGTGTCCTTGATAATATCGTTATTATGCTAACATAATATATTATATTAACATTTTTCCTAATATCAAAAAATTAATTGGCAAACCAAATTATGTATATATTATTTTAATTTATTTTTTACTGAATATTTTTTGACGTTTTTAAAAACCAATGCAAACTTTTAATTTCAGTCATGTGTGTACTTTTTAGCCAATACATTTTTACCAACATTATTGCAGGGAGAATAGTTTGTATTTGTATTTTTTTACATTTGTCTTTATTGTTTAGGCATTGTTGTTACGTAAAAATTAATCAAACTAATACTATTCGAGAGGTCAATAAATTAAACATAATTCTACACATATTTTCTTAAACCTGTGACATTTAGCACTACACTCGAGCCCTTCGGACTCTTGTGTCTATTGTCTGGCAACAGTTTTTCGAAAATATCATGAAGTATTTTCAATTTATACTTACTTTCTTTATTATTTTATGTCTAATATAATTTGTGATTTTAATGTAATGTGGAATATTAATTATTGATTAAATATGTTTAATATTGATTATTTTATTAATCTTCTAATCAGTATCAGTACTATAAGGTGCAAAGCCAAAAGTTATTATTTTTATAAATCATTCTTGGTTTGTGAGATGCTTTTTGAAATTTTAACAAAATTTAAAATTTAAAAAATGTTTATGATCTATCATATGGTATTGTAAATAAGAAAACGTTCATAATTGTGGTCGGTGAAGCTTCAAATGAATTTGCGCGCACTTTCCTAGCCGAGCATTTTGAAGCAAAACCGAGAACTTTCCTTTGAATATGCTTAACAATTCTTGTCAAAATGCTCTAAAATTCTCGGCAAAATGCTCAAAAATATAATATTTCATTAAAATTTTTAATTAATAATTAATTAATAAAGAGGTAAAATAGTTTTAAGTTCTCCTAATTAATTACTTAATAAAAATGTATTCATAAAACAAGTGTGGAAAATAATCCTGAAATGTTGTCAGTGGGTATTATGGTAATATTTTGGAAAACGGTCAAGAACATCCTTAAATTACTCTGTATGGTTTAAATACTGATTTTTTTCCTTGTTTATAACATAACTTTTCATTATTGCCTATTTTTTGAGGCTTATCTCGCTTATCTTTAAAGAAACATGTAGTTGCTAAAATTAGAAAAAAGTTGCAAATTTTCATGCCGATCAATGATCTAAAAAGAAATTTGACTTATCATTTTGAGTTTATTTTAAAAAGGATTAAAGGTAAGAGAAATTCAATTCTGCCAAAATCGTTTTGAAAGCTTTTAAAACTGCCGAAATAAAATAGGCCATGTCTAAGCCTCGAAAAAACGGACAACCTGAAAACTATAAAAACATATGCTTTTATTAATTCAATTCAATTCAATTAAACCGTTTAACATAAAATAATTTTATAATAAAGGAAAGATTTTAAACCCTGTAAAATATTGAGAAAACTGGTAATCTTCTCGAGAACACCAAGAATATTCAGAAAAATCATAATATTTACGAGAATATTGAATAAACAGGAAAAATAAGAAACATTGACAAAAAACGTTCAATGGTCTAATTCAGGCATGCTGTCAATAAATTCTCGGGAATTTCTCGTTTTTGCCCGTTTTTTTTTCATTTATTTTCATTTGTGCTTAATTTGCGTTCAAAATCATAAAAAGTGTTAATAATACGCACGCTCCTGGTAAATACAAGGAGCGTGGGTAAGAAATAAAACTATTTAAATATACCGCCTAGTAAATTTGGGAAAATTATTTACTTCAATCCTGTATTTTTGTCCATATTAATATTATTAAAAAATAAATATGACATGACATTAATTAAAATAATGGAGAATGCGCCGGGGTTAATTTCCTTCAATACCGTCCAAGTTTCGCAACAAATATTATGCAGTGTTTATTCTAGTTTGTTAATTTACCAATCCATAAATATTGTAAAGTTTATTTAACTATTGAAGATGAACTAAATTATTTTGTTTATTTATATTTTACTTCCTTTGAGGTTAATAAACAAAATTGTATAACGTTCAACAGAATTTTATAATGTTGTTTTATGAATTATATTGGTTTTTATATGCAGAGTGTTTATAGATGCGTAAATCTTTGTTAATTAATTATTAATACTAATAATATTTTGAAAAAAAAATATTTTACCAGAAAAAAAAAATTAACTTATATCTTTATCAGGGGCGTGGGTTCTACTGAATTAATTTTTCAAATTAATTATGTACAGATAATATAGTATATTATGTATCAAGTTATATAAACGACATTTTAGTAACGAGTTTTATTAGGCACGAGCGAAGCTTGCGAGCGAGTGTTTAATAAAAACGAGTGTCTGGAGAGAGTTGCATACTATACTTTATCTACGACGAACACAAAAAAGAATTTAAAGCAAATTTTTATTGTTAAAAATTTGACATCTGTCAACTGTCAACGGATTTAACCTCGCTTTTTCTCAATTTATAATAAAGCTAACTTCAGCCCGTGACTAAAATGCCCAAATGCCACTCTTGCTAACTTCATACCGTGACTAAAACGCCATAAAGTCACAGCTTATCAATGGGGGAGTAGATAAAAGCATTTTATTCATATCTAGAGGCATAAATGGTACCAAATGTTATTAGTTTTATAAAATACTATACAGGGTGCACCACGTATTTTTTATGTTTAGGTTGGTTACAATAGAAAAAAGTTGCGTACTTACAAGTCTATTATAATGGCATTTGAAATTTGCAAAAAACAGCGGTTATGAACATATTTTAAAAAAATTGTCTAAACCAAAAATCTTTATTTCGCCATTGCTGGGAATTTAAAAAAAGTGATTTATACATGTAAAAAGGCACATTTATCCACATTTTCTTCGCTACTATATTTTGAGTTACCGTCACTAAATTTTGTTTATGTAATGGCTCCCATAAATTATTCAGTAATTTTGATACATTGTTGGGTTTCTTGTTTTTTTATCTAACAATGTAAAATTTAATATGGCGGCCACAGATCGTGGTAACTCAAAATTTAGTAAGCAAAAAAATTACAAATTGGGACTAGTCGCTGGCTTATTAATATTTTAAATGTTAACTATATCTTTACACTTTTTATACAAAACATTAAAATAATATTTGTAAAAATAAATAAAAATCATTAATATTTTATATTTGTCTGACCTTGACACTAAAAAGGCATTGTGCGCAATTTATTAAATCATTTTTTTATTATAGAATGGGACAAAAAAAGAAAACAAATAAAGGGGACTTTTGCGACTTAAATTTAGATTTCCTTAAAGGCGGAACTAATAAGCACTATAAATATAACGTTACAAATAATAATATAGGTAAACAAATTTCAAAATAAGATAAATTTTAATAAGATATAATATTGTTGGTCAATACTTTGGTATAAGTCATTCCTAAAATAAATGGCTTAGGATTAGGTCAAGTGCAGAGCGGCCTAATTTTAAATATTTAGGTTAATGTATTTTCGGTACAACCAAAATATGTTGATAGTCTACATTAAAACCAATCCTGTGATATATTGGACATAAATCAGTAGTAGAAAAATATGATTTAAATTTATAAATTTTATGTACAATATTAAAAATAGCATGTGCATATTGCAAAACTAAAATCACATGTTTATTTCATTTAAGTAGTGCAAAATAATATGGTATAATTAAGTATGTAATTATAGTGTTTAAGTAAAGAAAAACTTAATTACCAAATGCCATCTGTAAATTAATGAATGGTGTAATTTCAACTTAATTTTCTTCTTAATTGCAAAATGCGTTCAAGGCAATAAAATTGGAGCAATACTAGGAATTTACTACAAATATAATCTTGAATTATATTGATAAAATTTCTAGTTCAGGCAAAATTTAGTGGACGCTAAAGGTACACCTAAATCAAGCAATAAAAAAACATTTTATGGACAATGACTGCATGTATTGACTATATTTTGTTCATACAATGAAATTCTAGGAAGAACAGATGGTTTTGTAATTCCGGTAATGACTTCCCAAGTAGCAAAGTGTCTTTAATTTGAAGTAATTTTTAAGTCAAAATGCAACAAAAATAATGTACTGTATATGTTTATAAAAGTTTTTTAATTATTATTTTCAGTATTATTTATTTTTATGCTTTCCACTGTAACTATTGATTTCAAAAAACATATTTTTTTAATTTTTAATATACAGTGTTGGCTATAATTTTTGAAACCACTGTAAAAAAATCTAACTCTAAAACGCCTTAATTATTCTTTATGAAATTTTGGATAAAAATACTTCAACTTATATCTCAGTTTACGTGTTTGAGGGTTTTTCGAGAAAATATTTTTAAAGCCCTTTTATTTAATAATGAAATAACGTTCGAAAAATAACTTTTAGGGTAATTTTTTCTTAAGTAAATAAAAAATTTGCTGTTAAAGACCGTATTTTTGTTAGTATACCCTGAAAATTTTGTACAAATTAAACGAACAGTAACAAAGATACAGCGCTTCAAAGTCGGTAAAAATGGCCCCTTTTTGATTATTTTGCTGAAAAGTGGTCATTTTTGACTTAAAAATATTTTCTCGAAAAACCCTCCAACACGTAAACTGAGATATAAGTTAAAGTATTTTTATCCAAAATCATAAAGAATAATAAAAGCATTTTAGAGTTAGATTTTTTTACAGTGATTGCCAAAAATATGGCCAACACTGTACATGG